CAAAGGAAAGCATTACTCAATGCTTTCCTATGGACGTTCAGTGTCTTAGAATCGCGGAAGCTCCTCTAGCGGCTGTCAGTGAGACAGCCACTAGAGGCTGGATTAACCATCAGTGAAACATAGCAGTTTCTCTGAAACTGCTATGTTTTCAGCTGCAGGGTTAAAACTAGAGGGACCTGACACCCAGACCACTTCACTGAGCTGATATGATCTGGGTGTCTGTAGTGGTCCTTTAAGTGTGTGTGCATCTGCATGCACTGGCTTACATGCCCGCCACCATGTGTTGCGGCCCCGGCCCGCACAGAGTAAGTGTAGGGGGGAGGGGGGCCCACGGATCAATTTTTGCACCGGGGCCCCATGGGTCATTTCAATTGCCATGGAGCCAAAGTCTTTCCCATAGTCTTTCGGTATACAAATGGTCTCCATGGCTTAGCTATCTGTGGTAACACTGCTCACATACGGAAAATAAAAAGTTTTTAATGCAGGGCCATAGTCCAGCGGCAAGAGGTGGGCAACCAGGCTTCTCCAGTGGCCAGTGGCCAGTGGCCAGTGGCGAGGTTGGTTCCGCCACAGTAAGAGTAAATAATAGCCTTTATTCAATATTAGTGAATAGACAGCTAATGGATCAGAGAGAAAACAGTACAAACAGGTCCAATGTTTATTTGCAATGGATGTTTCCTGAATATGTATGCATTTTAAATGTTGTCATGTGTTAGAAACTGGCAGATGTTTAACGGAAATCACATACAGAACCAAATTTGACATATGGCTTTCTTAGCGATTTCCTAGACTTTCATTTTGAGTTGCGTGAATTTAGTTAACTGTCTCCTGTCTGTATTAGGGAAAGCTTGCCTAGATGACAGGGTCACTTGCTTCCTAAATCCCTGAAGATGTACTGCTCACCTTGTACTGATTTACCTTGGTGAACACCATCCATGCCACAAGCTGTGAGTTAGAGGGTTACTCCAACCACCATGGCCACTTCTGTCACTGGCTACTTGCCTGTTCTAATTGTATTGTTCATTATTGTATCTTTCTTAGCTAATGTTTATTAACCTTGTACAGGCTCTTAAGCAATGTAAAGATGCCGGGCTGAAGTACAAGCCAGTCTGTAATCAGGTAACTGATATGTATTTGCTTGGCTGAATGTGTAAAATATTTCTCAACTAAGGATTGATAATAATTTTGGAATTGTATAGGTGGAATGCCACCCTTACCTCAACCAAAGTAAACTGCTGAATTACTGGATACAGTGTTCTAGGCTCACACAGACA